GTTATTAATTTCACTAATTCCAATTATTAGCTATTATTTCTTTTTAACACATTCAATTCCAGCATTTAATTATGCCTATTTAGTGCCAAAATCCAAATAGTTATCCAGTTTAATTTTCAAGCCTTTTATAATCCAATATTTCTCTGAATTTTCCACTTCCAAATTAATTCTTTTCAAAGTCCAAAGCCAATTTAATCTATTTCCAATTTTCTTCACTCTCCCTCTGGCCGCTTCTACAATCTTTCATAAAAGATTCTTTGTTTCTTCATTCCAGGGTACCTTAACACCCCTGTATTTCGCCTGGTTCACACACCACTCACAACTTCACCACTCCAGCACAGTCTTAGTTTTCCGGACTGCCTCCTGTCTTCATGGTGGCCATTTTTGACCACCACTGCAACTTGTCTTAGGAGGGGGTTTATCTTGTCAGGGAGGGGAGATGCACTCCCTTCAACCCTCCAGGTGCCCCCCCTTCTTCACCACCCCTCCAGGGTGGTTCTGGTCCCAATTGGGACCTCCAACAAGTGAGCACAGAGGAAAACTGCACATAATCACAGATTCTGCTCTGACACGACGGAAGCACAACCGGAAATTCCTGATTTGCATCTTGTTGAACAGTTCTTTATGTCTGCAGAAAAAAAGTTATTTTTCAAGAATTCAATCAATCAATCAAATGTTTATTGTCAATGTGTATATGCGTACAATAAAATTGAAATGAGCCTCCTTGGTGCTGTCCCTAGAAGTCTATCATATTAAACCTAATTGTGACATTCACCCTGTCCTTGGTCATATTAGATATCTGAGTAGCTTTTGATACCATTGACAGTAGTTTCCTGCTGGATACCTACCAAGGCTGGGGATGCTGAGGCATCCCTGAGGCATCCTTCAGAGATTGTCTTGAAACTGCAGCTAGGCAAAAATGATGCAACAGTCCTGTTATGGTAGAGGAATACTACTGGCTACCAATTAGGCTTTTGTGTTTAATTCAAAATGCTGGTGAAAATCTACAAAGCCATGTAAGCAGTGGCATCAGATACCATCAGATTCTGGGTTGCCAGACTTGAACCTGCATGTACGAAGACAGAAAGCCTGCTTGGAGCTAGGATATGGAGCAGACAGCAGTTCTTTTCTGTAACAGTTCCTGAATTTTGGAACTCCTTGTCTAGGGAATTTTGAGCAGTGACTTCTTTCCTAGATTTTGTCAAACAACAAAACAACAAAAAAAAACCTGCTATTTTGCCAACCCATTTTAATCAGGATTGAGTGGTGTAGTGGCCACTTGAGGCATTTCTATTAATTATATTCCTTTATTCCTTTGTATTCTGTATTTACATTCTCTTATAAGCCCCCCAAAGTTTGTGAATTAGAGTAGGCTGCAAGAATTGAGAAATAAACCATGTAATTTTATAAAAATGTAAAGAAAAAATAGTGGAATAAAAAAGCCATGAGATTTAACAAATATTATCTGATAAATTTTTAGTTTTACCTTTTGTGTTCCGGTCTATTCTGCACACACCTCTCCCTGAGCTAAAATATCTTTGGAGTCTGCAATTCCCCTCTTTGGCAGAAAATTCTTAAACATTTACTTATAGAAAATACCTCAAAATTATCTGGATACCAGATAAACAAAGAGAGATTGCTATGTGTTTATGATAATGCTTATTAGTTCACAAGTGGATTCTGTATGTGAAAAGCTCTAAATATTTACTGTGTGATCAGAAAATAAAGGTGTATTTATTTTGAAGGAAAATAAGTGTGACATTGAAAGCATAACTAGAAGAATTTGCAATTATTCACATATTACCTCTTAATTCCTGTTTGAATTACTTTTTGGTTATAATTATGATAGTAGGCTTTTTACTCACTGATAGTGGTGAGGAAGGTACTAATTTAATATTTTTTTCTACTGTTTGACTGTTTTAAAGTGCCCAGTTTGGAGATTGGGTTGAAGTAACACATCTATTCATTTTATAAAGCAGGACAGATTCTTTTCTTTCCTGTTCTTAAAAACTAGAACAGTCTTTCTCAAATTTGTGCCATCTTCCAGTAACGCAAAAATCCCCAAGCTGTCTCTTATCTTTTCCAGTCACCAGGGTCTTTGACGAGAATTGGAAACATTGCTCTAAACTATGATATAATAAAGAGTGGAAAAAGCAATAAAAACAGCAGAGCTTGTGGAGAACTATATAAACAGCTGCAGCAGCAATGATATAAATTAGCAACAGCATCATTAACAACCTGCCATTGATAAGTACAACTGAGGAGTGTAGAAAGTCTCATGAAGATAAAACCTTTTGGATTGGGGACTTGTGACATGCATTATCATCACTGTACTGCTCTGGAGAAAAACACAACTCCCTGTCATATTACGCCCTTTCACCTAAGTTCAATAATTATCCATAATATGTTATATTTAGTATATCATATCTGGAAAAAGTATCCAATGCACATGATTTATCAGCACAATATCCCACTGAACTTCCTTATGAAATTTGATAAACATCATACATTGAATTGTTCCTGAGTTTATGAGGTTAAGGAAAGATTTACAGGTCTTCAAATCCAATATCCCACACAAAGAAAGACTCTTTACACCATCCAAGGCAAATGGCAGTTAAAAAACCTGCAGTGATGAAACAAGGAAGCAGGATGTTCCACTGCTTAGCAACTCTCACAATCAGGGAATTCCTTCTTATCACTTTCTGTAAAACTTCCACTCGTTGGTTCTAGACCTACCTTTAGATACTATGAAGAATAAACCCAGACATACTTCCTCTGACAACCTGTCAAATATTGCAAGACTATTGCCACACTCTTTTTCTCCTCTTTAATTCGGTTTCTTTAAACATACTTCACAATATTTAGCCACAAATCTCTCAACATCATTCCTTTTCTTAACCTTAGAACAGGGGTGTCAAACTTGCGTCGTCATGGTGGCATCATGTGACATATTATAACTTTTTCTCCTTCGCTAAACCAGGCATAGGTGTGGCCAGCGCATGATGCATCTGGTCTGCAGCCCTGCCTTAGGAAGCAGAAGGGAGAGATGCAGTCTATGCAATGGCCTGGTAAACAAAATCCAGGTCCTAAAGAATGTGGGAAGAATAAGGACCCTAACTAGTTCTCTGGAAAGTAAAGGCAGGGGAGGAAGGGAAGAGCTTGCAGACTTGCAAGATGCTATTACTATAAGCTTATAATAAACAATATTGGTACTTATGGTTTTGATTTATTGCCTTGATTACCTTGAAGAGCTGGCATTAGATTATGCTTAATCTGTTATTTGCTGTATCTGGATATGCAAATCCTTGTCACAATTACTATAGTTGAACCAGGTACTCCAATCTTGTACTCATGCATTGAGATTTTCCTACATAAGTTTAGAAACCCCATGGAAGAGCAGGGTATTAGTGAACAATTGCAGGCATCTGTGCTGCCCCCCCCCCCACCTTCAAGCCTTCTGGTATTTGCACAGCAAAACGTATAAGAGGTGAAACCTTGAAACAGGTGGAGAGATGTGTGGTGTGTATTTTGAAGCTCTGCAGCAGCAACAAACAGAAAAGTAGCCAGATAAAAGGAGTTTTTTCTTCAGAGACTGAATGGTCCAGAGCAGGAGTCATCAACCTTTTGGACACCAGGGACCAAATCCTGCGGACCATTAATATGATCTGCCTAATGACTGGCTGGGTGGGTGTGACTGTGAAAGTTGGACCATAAGGCAGAGCACCAAAGAATTGAAACCTTTGAACTATGATGCTGGAGAAGACTCCTGCAAGTCCCTTGGACGAACAAGGCAATCCAACTGGTCAGTCCTAGAGGAGATCAACCTTGACTGCTCTTTAGAAGGCCAGATCCTGAAGATGAAACTACTTTGGCCACCTCATGAGAAGGAAGGACTCACTGGAGAAGAGCCCAATGCTGGGAATGATTGAGGGCAATAGAAGGGAACGGCAGAGAATGAGGCAGCTGGATGGAGTCACTGAAGCAGTTGGTATGAGCTTAAATGGACTCTGGGGGATGGTAGAGGACAGGAAGGTGTGGAGGAACGCTGTCCATGTAGTCTCGATGGGTCAGACACGACTTCGCAACTAACAAAATTTTGGTATTGTAATTTGATTAAGAAATCTGGCAGGCCGGCATCTGGTGATTTGATTACCTAATACATATATGAATAGATATTACATTGAAGAGTTTATAAATTCACCTAATATATAATTATGCATTTTGAGATCTGAATAGCATTTTGTTTTTTCAAACGACAGCCGAAAAACGTGCACTATGATCCTTAGGTCGCCCACATTTTTCTATCCAAGGGGTGTATTTCCTGTACACCCAAGGCACAGAACCGAACCCGAAGAAAAACAGTGTTTTGATTGTGCAAGCAGCAGTAATACTCGGAGAAGAGCTACTGCGTCCTTTTCTTTCTTAAGTAACTGATGCCAAGGGGCGATTTCGTGCAAACCACGAAGGAGGAGCAAATCCCAGGCAGCCCCCCGTCTCTTTCGCTCCAACCAGCCACAGTTCCTGTTATTTCCACAATCTCGCGGTAAATTATCGGGTTCTCGTTTTGCTCCTCCTAGGAGAGAATATCCTTCCGCCCGCCTTCCCTCTTCCTCTTTTTAGGACAACTATTTATCCGCGGCCGAACCGGCCCGCGGTGTGTCGGGCCGCCTGTTCCCGGGCGGGCGCCGTATAACGCGCTTCCCGACCGGTGAAAAACTACGACGCTTCTCCGCGGCCCGCTAAGCCGAACCACAGTCCAAAAGCGCATGCGTGACTTTTGTCGCTCGACTCCGTCAAGCGGAGGAATCCTATGAACCTCTCGCGTCATAAAGAACTTCGCGCGGGGAGTGATGCGGAGGAGCAGTCCCTGCACTGTGAGGCAGTCACTCAGTGAAAGAGCCCGAGCGTGCTGGGGGAGAGAAAGGGGGAAGAGCGACGGTGAGAAGCGAGCAGGCGAGGGAAGGCAGTGAAAGGGCGGCAGGCGAGCAAAAGAGGTGGGGGCGACGGGAAAGAAGGCAATAGAGAACACCGGGCTCCCCCCCAGGCCGGTACCCACACCTGTCCTCCCGCTTCCGCCGAAAAGCTTCTGCGCTCCCTCCGCCGCCGGAAAATAGTCCCCCTCCTTCCTTTCCTCCTTCCTGCTTGCCTCTCTCAACAGGCTCCGCCGCGATGGCGCTGAAGAGAATCCACAAGGTGAGAGTCCTTCGGCAGAAGGCCAACCCGGAAGCCCCTTCGGTGCGAGGGCCAGCATATAGGCATGGTTTTCTCCCGCCCTTGTAGGCCGCACAGAGGGGCCGGGCTGGAGGCCCCGATCGTGCCGGCGATGCTCTTGCTGGCGGCGATCGTCGGTGCCGCCGCTTTACGTAAGCTCGGTCCGGCTTGGCCTGGGGGGCATCTCCGGCAGGGCTGGAAGGCAACGCTCCGCGCGTGAACCCTCTGGGCCTCGGGACACCCGGCCCCGCGCTCCTTTAGGGCCTGGGCGGCTCTCTCGCCCGTGGGGTGGCGGGGTTGGGGGAGGCAGCTCCAAAGCCCGAAAGCCTTTCCCGGGCTCGTTGAGCCCAGCCGGGCTGGTCTCTTCGTTGCATTGGCCGCGGGAAGGAAGGCGACCTTTTGTTGGAAGCGAGGTCTTTCTCCCCCACCCCCCCTGCCTTTCCTTTCTTTCTCGGTCAGCCGCCTTACGCCGTCGGTCTCCGGACAAGAACGCAGTCACCCCCGGCTTAGGTTAGGATTTTGCAGGAGGCGCACCTGGCCAACTTGCAAGGGCTTTTTTTCTAGGTGGGTTGCAAAAAGTTCTTGCTTTCGTCACCGGAACAGGATTCGAGCACCGTTTCGAAAGTCATCCCGTCCAATACGTTTCGAAGCGGTTGGGTTCAGAATGGGTGGCTTGCCCGTAGCCACAGGTGCGCGCTTAGGCATCCCTTCTTCAGAAGTTACGTTGGACGATCCTTCTGTACCTTCGTCCTTGCTTGGTGCCGACCGAGGGAAGGGACCGTTCCTTTGCCTTGCATGAACAAAGGGAAAGCGCTGGAGCCAGTAAGTGTGCTGACCCTGAGATCGGCTTCGGCGTCCCTCACTACCTAAGGGATATGCCCTCTTAAATAGTGTTAATAATAGTTGGTGCTCCCAAGATTGCTCTCGTGTTTACAACTTTTTTGCCTCTTTATTGCCATTACTGTGGTCTTGCTGCATCAAAAGTTTATTCGGTGTCAAAATACTAAGCAAGAGTATCCTGAAAAGGAAATGTAGGAGTGAATTCTACCGAACGCCATGGAGTTTACTTCAAAAGAAGCAAGGATAGAAACAAGTTGCTATAGTTGCAAGAAGAATATTTTGGTGATATCACTGTTCTAACTTGCCAAGGTGATTTTTTTTTGGGGGGGGGTTTCAAACAGATGATACTGTTGATGCATCAGGATGTAATTGGAATCAGTTAAAAGTTGCAGGCTCTTGGTTTAGACTTATTTGTAGCATTGAGAGGAAATGTAACAACTATTTCAAGGCATGCTTGGATAACAAAACAGTGCTTATAGGAATCACCACTCTAAAATAAGCAGTAGGTGAAAATGTTGCTTCTAGTGAAAGCCTTTGCTTTGGAAAATAGTTTTGCTTTAAGGTTGCTAGGGCTGGGAGTAAAGGCTCCCGGGTGATCTTGCAGTGGCATTGATGATGTTATGTTTTATAATAATGTGTGTTATTGGCTTTTTAAACAATAGATTGTTGCATTTGAGAAACTAACTTTAAAATGTATGAAAACAGAATTTCTCTGTTGGGATTGATAATTTTTGAGTGTTTAAATATTCTGAATATTTTTAGTAGTCTGGTTCTAAAATCATTTAAAATACTATTTTATGCTTTCATTTTTCTGTTACAAACTTTGTATTACTAACATGCATTTAAAGAGATTAAATTAGAAAGATTGATATATTGATCTATGACAGGTTGCTGAATTAGGCAGGCTTTTTATGTGCATTTGGATTTCATTTAGTGCGTATAATTGGCTTACTTAACTGCTAAAGAGCAATCACACATTAGTTATTGATTTGTTAATTCTGTGTCATTCTTGAAATATTGAACTTAAGAATAAACTTTTATGTAAGGGAGAACAGTCAACTGTATTTTGATTTTATTTGAAAAATATTAGATATATAGCATTTCTTTGTTGAATTTGGTACAAGATTTTAGGATATTTCTGAGTCAGAATTTTCTGATTTGTGACCTTGTTTCCTCACTAAATCAAGATTTTTGTGTCAGTAATTGAATGTCTAAGCCCGCCTTACAAAGAAATCATGGTTATTTATCAGCAAAGAAAATTTGACATAGTGAAATAAAATTAACAATAGAATTGGGCAGAGTAGGAAAACAAACAAAAGCCAGGAATGCAACTTTATAAAAAACAGTAAGCAATTATTTTAAAAAATCAGAATTCCTTTCTGATTTTAAAAAGATATTGCTTAACATTGTTTATAAATTTGTATTCTTGGGTTTTTGTTTGTTGTTGTACTCTGCCCAATTCTATTGTTAATATAACAGAAGACAACAGCTTAAAAATATAACACTTTAAGCTAAACTTTCCTCTTTTTGCTTCTCCCTCATTCCCAGATTCTTCATTCTCCTTGGCATCAATTTTCATACATGCTGCTCCTTCCCAAGCAAATGATTCATGGGAATCTGACTTCTAAATTACATTTTTTCCTTCATAAAACATTATAGAAGTCATAGTAATGCTTGGCCACAAACAGAAATAGATAATATTCTGAAAAACTGCAGCTGTTCCTCAATGTCTCATAGAACCTTCATGAATATCCCACAAAAAACACAAACATAAAAATTGGAAGGTGTATCAAAATGCAATTATTTTTTTAAAAATCAGAAGAGAGAGAGCATTTTCATCTCATTAGAAAACAGCCCAAAATATCTGCAAATGGACCAAAACACCCTACATTCCACTTTCCAAGAATCCCAATACTTTTTTGGTTCTTCTTCTAAGTCTTACTGATTAGTGTCAAGTCTTATTCTTTCCTCTGCCCTTTGAAGAAGAAAATGATCAGCGGGTTAAGCCAGGAATTTTCTGAAAGCACCATGCTTGGGATAGATAGTCTTCCAATGGAAGTTCATTACTACTTGATATCACTGAAACATTTGGGGTTTTTTTCTGTAAGAAAATCTGATTGATCAGGCAGTACTGAAACATCAAAACTAGTATTGTTTTTATTTGTTCTTTCACTTTGTACTCCTGCTAAACAGTGTTGTCCAGTTCATTGATTTTATTTTCTTAGAGATGTAACTATTTTTTGCTTCTGTTCTTTTTGAAAAAAAGTTAAATATCTTTTTCCTTTCTGTTTATGTTTGCAAACTTTATCTCAATATTATATAATGGCTCATAACAAAGTGCTGTAATAGTGAAAATCAGTGGGCACTGCTTATTCCTCTTTTGTTAAAAGTGCACGGAGTAATAATTTCCCCCCTACTTATAATCAATATTTTAGATAGGTGAGTTCAGAAAAACTTCAAATTAAAAGCCCAAGTTGAAGATGGATCATCCAGGAGGGAATCTATCCAGATATCTATCCAGTGCCACCAACTTAAGCCAGGTGAAGCTGGGCAAAAAAAAAAAAGTAGGAGTCTTCAGTGCAGAAGTCAAGGCAGTGCCCTAAAGGTGCTTATCCCAAGTTTGCATAAGTGCAGATATCCTGTCGGATTGGCTGATATCTGGTAACAGTGTCACTCAGCAGCATATTGAGATCTCTGCTTCAGGATTTTTCTTTTTCTTTTGCTGTGATGTTTGGAAGAAATAGGGATTTGCAGAAACTTCTGCCTGGTATGAAAAGTGTGGATACTTTTAAGGAGAGCACATATAATTCCTTCCATTGAGGGATTAATGCATGTAGCACATTCTATTTCTGCTTGAAAAATAAGAAATACATATTGAAATTATGTTAGAGGATACTTGATAGACTGCAGTTGCAACAGTAATCAGGTCAATCATTTCCCCCTATAGATGCCTAGACAATCTGAACATTACCATAAAGGGAGCCCTACGAAAGTTTCATCTAAAAGTTATGTGTATATACACATTGTGAAAAATAGAACGGCAGATTGCTTGATTTTAAGGTACAAGATATTTTGGACTTTATAGTTGAAAACTGGGAAATAAAACGATTCTGTTTTAAGTTTATTTTGATTTAAGAGCATTTTAGATATACCATGGAAGAAATTTATATTTGCTATAATACATCAAAGGGAGACAAGTGGAATTTGTATGGCTGCAAGTACTGGTATCATGTAATAAGTAGATTAACTACAACTTTAAAAATTAATTTACATCCTTCTTGTCAACAGTAACGTGGAAAATACTGAATAAATATATTACTAATCAGAATTGGTATCTTCAAGGTCCATAGCTGTTTATTCTGAAGTTTTATTTTCAGCTTCATGGCATTCAGAAAGTGAATGGAGCAAGTTCCTCAATGTTTTCTCATGTTAATTCATGCCTTGGTAGCATTTTTGTATTTTGAAATCTTCAGTTTTTCATTTTTCATTTGGTATAGTAAATGAAGGAATGTGAGGCATATGAAGATCAAGAAGAGTCTGATTGATTAGTGCATAGCATTTGTCACCATATTCCAGATTTAATATCGTTGAATAATTCTCACAATAAATATTTCAAGATATTTTGTATCTTATAAAATAGACAATTTTTCCCCCAGATAAATTACGGATTGTGTATATAGTATCCTAATTATAGGGAGTAGCAATGTTAATGTTACAGCGTAACTATCTTTGAATCTCAGGTCTTGAAGTCATTTGAGGCTTAATTTGTAACATCTATTCTGAAAGAATACTTAATATTTTTCTTTTGAATTTTCAATTTAATTGTTTTCAGGCTTAGTGGGATGCCAGAAACACAAACTAGCGTATTTTTTTTTTGCCTTTGCATTCCAAGTATAGTGTAGCAGTATATAGCTTAGCAGAGGTCACATCTTTTTATCATGTTGAAAAGATTACCCGTATTGCACATATAGTATGATATTCACACATGTTTACTGCAAATATAATTCATACAAGAAAGGTGTTGATTGAGGTGCAGTATTCTGTGCATAGAAAATACAGTTTCCACACTTCTATGATAAAAAAATAAGATTGAAAACGTTTCTTTTTAAAAAAGCTAAAATGTTTTGACAATTATGATAGTC